TTGAATATGTCAATGCTGTTGTAATGAAATGCTTCTTCTAATTATGTGGTTATTAAATAAATAATTTTTTTTAAAAGCAGATTTAGAATTAAAAAAAGGAGACTGTTCCATAGGAACAGTATTTTGTATGTGCATGTGTGTGGTGCACGTGTACAGTGCGTGTGTGGTGCATGTGTACAGTGCGTGTGTGGTGCACGTGTACGGTGTGTATGGCAGCCGACCAAGACATCGGGTGTCTTCCTCCTCCGTCACTTTATCTTTTGAGACAAGGTTTCTCACTGAACCCGGGGCCACAGATTCAGTTAGACTGGCTGGTCAGCAAGCCTCAGGGATCCACCACACGTGTACAGTGCGTGTGTGGTGCACGTGTACAGTGTGTGTGTTGTGCATGTGTACGGTGTGTATGGCAGCCGACCGAGACATCGGGTGTCTTCCTCCTCCGTCACTTTATCTTTTGGGACAAGGTTTCTCACTGAACCTGGGGCCACAGATTCAGTTAGACTGGCTGGTCAGCAAGCCTCAGGGATCCACCTGTCTTTGCATCCCAGCTCTGGGACTACAGACAGGGACTGTCATGCCTGGCTTTTTATGCAGGTACTGGGGGTCCAAACTCAGGTCTGAGTGCTTGTGTGGCAAGCACTTTACCCACTAAGCATCTCCCCAGCTGTGATGGTTTGAGTGAGAACGTCCCCCACAGGCTCCAAGTGTTTGGACATTTTGTCCCCAGTTGGTGGCGCTGTTTTGGGAGGTCGTAGGCAGTGTAGCCATGCTAGAGGACGCATGTCACCGGGGGCAGGCTTAGAGTCCTTAAGCCTTGCTGGATCTTCAGCTGCTCTCTGCTTCCTGTGCCTGCTTGAAGATTAGCTTCTGCTCCTCCTCCAGCCACCTCTGCCGCCATGCCTCCCCACCATGACGGACTGACTCCTGCCCCTTTGGAACCGTAAGCTAAATAAACTCTTCCTTCTATAGGTTGCTTTGGTCAGTGTTTCTAACAGAGCAACAGGAAAGTGACTGATATAGCAGTCCTAGAATGATCTTTTCTTTAATTAAAAAAAGTTATTTTATGTGTATGAGTGGTATTGCCTGCATGTATGTGAGTGTACCTGTGTCATGCAATGCCACGAAGGTCAGAAGAGGGCTTCAGATCCCCCTGGAACTAGAGTTAAGGACGGTTCGTAGCCACCATGAGGGTGATGGGAATCAAACCCAGATCCTCTGTAAGAGCAGTCAGTGCTCTTAACCACTGAGCCATCTCTCCAGGCCTGGAGTGATCTTTTTATATCTCACTGGACTTGAGTTATTACATATGTGAGGCTGTGCAGCCGCATAAACAACAGAGCTAAGAACAAATGCACAGAGCAAAACTCAACAGAATGAAGAGAGACGAGTTGAAGTGAACTGAGGATTTAACTATCCCAGTTCCAGCCAGATAAAGGGCCTGAGAAATGGGGGACTTTTGCAGAGCAGTAAGTCAGCAAGATGCAGTCGATTCCTGCAGAGGACGCCTCACAGCCACCGCACAGCATGCTCTTCTTGAGTGGGTGTGAGCGGTGTGGGCATGGTGGCATGGTTGTGGGCAGCATGGGTGAGGGTGGCATGAGTGTGGAGCTCTGTCTACATAGAACACATCCAGGGCCATAAAGAAAACTTCAGTAAGTTCTCAAAAGGATATAAATTATAAACAAAGTATGTGGTGTGGCAAGAATGGAATAAAATTGCAAATCAATAATAGAAAAATATTCAGAAGACTCACAAATATGTGGAATTGAATAACATAATCCTCCAATAGCCAAAGGAGAGATGAAAATATTACAAAACACGTCGAGATGATTGAAAACAGAAACCAAAATTTCAGAATGTGTGTTGCTTTGTGTTGACAAAATGCCTGAAAGAGGAAGGGTTTGTTTCTGTTCAGGTTTGAGGGTGCAGTCCGTCACGGCGGCAGGAGTGAGAGGCAGCTGGCCACACTGTGTCCGCAGTCAGAAAGCAGAGACAAATGGCTGGTGCTCAGATCGCTTTCTTTATTTATTCACTTGCGGACCCCAGCCCACAGATGGTGCCACCCACATACAGAGCAGCCCTTCCTTCAGTTAATCCTTTCTGGAAATACCCCACAGACACGCCTAGAGGTGTGTATCCTGGGTGATAAATCCTGTCAGGTGACACTGACCATCAGACATCAGTGCAGAGGTACCACAAGCCTCATACATTGAGAGAACTCATAGCTCTGGACACCTGTGCCGAGAGGGCTCCTGTTGGTCACCTGAGCAGAGCTAAGGCACAAGGAAGGGACTAAGAGACCTCGGTGGAAACAGACTGAGAAGATCCATGATCTCTCAGGAAATCTTCTGAAAACACAAGGGAGGTGACATGTCTTGACCCACTCTGAGGCTGGTGTTACTTTCACAGCACCCCAAACCAAATGTTTGGACCACAGCCCTGTGACATGTCTGCAAAGCCCTCAGCAAACTCCAGCAATGGAATCTAGCCATACAGAGCAATCAGGCCCTGTGGGTCTTCAGTGTGCCCCAGAACCTGTGTGTTGAAGACTTGGTCCCCAGCCTTTGGTGCTAGGGGGCATAAGAGGTGGAATTTAATGGAAGGAAGTGAGGTCATTGGGGACATGACCTTGAAGGAACATTGGGACCCTGACCCTTCTTTCTTTGCTTCCCAGCTACCAAGAGGACACACTCCCCTCCAAACAGCAATGGTCATGGAAAATGGCCTGGGAGCACCTCAAAGCCAATGGCAGAGTTCCCACGTGACCCAAGATTTGCACCTCTAGATCCATCCCCAGGAGCAATGAGAGGGAGTCCACACAGGATGCGGATGTTGACAACAGCAGCATTCTCCGGCCAAAAGGTGGTGGCGCCCCAAGTGTCCATCAGCCACTGAGTAGGCAGTCAATACAAAGTGGATAGCATGTGCACATGATGGGATGCTATCCAACTACAACCAGGAATGCAGCTCCGACCCAGGCTGCAACACAGATGGGGCTGTGAGGACATATGCTGAGCAGGTCAAGAAAGGCCAAGTATGATGACCCATTGTGTGAAACGTGTGGAACAGGACATCCCACAGGAATGCAAAGGAGGTTCACACTACAGGTGCGGCAGAGCCAGGGTGATGGTAAAAGGGCGCAGGCCATCTTAGGCAGTGGTGAAAACATCCTAAAATTGATTGCATAAATCTGTGACTACACCAACTGTCAAGCTGTGCACATCTGTGAGTGCACCAGCAGCCACTGAGCTGTGCACACCCATGACTGTGTCAACAACCACTGAGCTGTGCACACCCATGACTGTCAACAACCACTGAGCTGCGCACACCCATGACTGTGTCAACAACCACTGAGCTGTGCACACCCATGACTGCACCAGCAGCCACTGAGCTGTGCACACTCATGACTATGTCAACAACCACTGAGCTGTGCACACATGTATCAACAGATACAGTCATGAAATCCTTGGCGATACCAACAACACCAGCAGCCACTGAGTCGTGCACACATGTATCAACAGATACAGTCATGAAATCCTTGGCTATACCAACAACCACTGGAATGTGCAAACTAGTGATTACCAGCAACCACTGAGCTGTGCACACATGTATCAACAGATACAGTCATGAAATCCTTGGCGATACCAACAACCACTGGCCGTGCAAACCTGTGACTACATCAACAACCATCAGGCCAGAGGTTGCATGATGGGGCCAGCACACTGTGGTTAATGAGGTCACACTGCTGGCAAGACAGCTCCTCCTGACCCCAGCCCCCCTAGAGACCTTGCCAAGTACTTTGCTGTGGCCTGGACCATCCCAGAGCTTTGTGGACATTGCTCTAGGGACATCAGAAAAGGAAGTCAGGTGGTCTTGATAAGAAGAAACACTGTCACTGACCTTGGGTGGAAGGTCAGGAACTCTCAAGGTGACGATGATGGAGAATTCTTCAGGGAAGAGGTCACAGCTGGAGAAGATTCTGGAAGCAGGGAAGCTCACTGCACGGGGCTCAGCAGCTGAGAACTGGAGGCCCCGCACGCCCTCGGCCTGTACCATCTGGATCCCACTCACAGCGCCATTCAAAGGGACCACCTCTTCCAGGATGTCCTGGGGGCGCAGGTCTGTGGCAAAGACACCGCGGGTGCAAGGGTTAGGTGGCAGCCATGCAATGTGACAGGTGTGATGGCTGGCATCTGTGGGGCACCCAGGGCACCTGTGGGACACCCAGAGCATCTGTGGGACATCCAGGGTATCTGTGGGGGCACCCAGGGCATCTGTGGGACACCTAGGGCATCTCTGGGGCACCCAGGGCATCTATGGGACACCCAGGGCATCTCTGGGGCACCCAGGGCATCTATGGGACACCCAGGGCATCTATGGGACACCCAGGGCATCTCTGGGGCACCCAGGGCATCTATGGGACACCCAGGGCATCTATGGGACACCCAGGGCATCTCTGGGGCACCCAGGGCATCTATGGGACACCCAGGGCATCTATGGGACACCCAGGGCATCTCTGGGGCACCCAGGGCATCTATGGGACACCCAGGGCATCTATGGGACACCCAGGGCATCTCTGGGGCACCCAGGGCATCTATGGGACACCCAGGGCATCTATGGGACACCCAGGGCATCTCTGGGGCACCCAGGGCATCTATGGGACACCCAGGGCATCTATGGGACACCCAGGGCATCTCTGGGGCACCCAGGGCATCTATGGGACACCCAGGGCATCTATGGGACACCCAGGGCATCTCTGGGGCACCCAGGGCATCTATGGGACACCCAGGGCATCTATGGGACACCCAGGGCATCTCTGGGGCACCCAGGGCATCTATGGGACACCCAGGGCATCTATGGGACACCCAGGGCATCTCTGGGGCACCCAGGGCATCTATGGGACACCCAGGGCATCTATGGGACACCCAGGGCATCTCTGGGGCACCCAGGGCATCTATGGGACACCCAGGGCATCTATGGGACACCCAGGGCATCTCTGGGGCACCCAGGGCATCTATGGGACACCCAGGGCATCTATGGGACACCCAGGGCATCTCTGGGGCACCCAGGGCATCTATGGGACACCCAGGGCATCTATGGGACACCCAGGGCATCTCTGGGGCACCCAGGGCATCTATGGGACACCCAGGGCATCTATGGGACACCCAGGGCATCTCTGGGGCACCCAGGGCATCTATGGGACACCCAGGGCATCTATGGGACACCCAGGGCATCTCTGGGGTGTATACACATGTGAGCAGCCTCCTTTGAGCTGAGGTTGCTGTTGGTAGAAGCTGGGCAGGGCCTCCTTGGCTCCCAGGAGAACCTCTGTTTCCTAGTTCAATGCCATTTGAGACAGAGCTGATGGGCTCAGCTGGCCACTGGCCGTGGAGAACTTTGTGGCTGGAAAGAGAGGCTCTGAGACCAGGCTGCAGGGCCTCGACGTCAGGTCAGGAACAGAGTCAGATGGGATGCCTGGGTCCTGTTCAACTGGCCACAGTTGTCCAGCACTTGAAGTAAAGGACTGGTCATGTGTAGTGAGATTCTGAATGCTTTTGTGACCCCCCCCCCCGGGCCACAGTACACCCGGCTGTGACCCAACGCTGTATAACTCACCCCTAACAAACTCATTCCTAAGGCGAGATGAACTTGAACAGGGCAGTCTTTGGCCACTGGTGCTGTCCCAGGTTGGGGGATGATATTAATTTTATATCTCCCTGGAAAGTTTCACACACATGGTGGGGGGTGCAGCCATTCCCTGGAGCCTTCATTTTGGCTTTGAAAACATGCCTTTGCCTAGGCCTTAAGCTCGTCCACAGTTTACCACAGTGCCTGTTCCCACCACACTCTGGTCCCATCTGGAGACTCTCCATGCGGTACTTAGGTTGACAACACATCCTGTACATTAACTCTTCGAGCACTGGGTCATGGTCAGCCCACTTTACAAGTGAGGAAGTGGAGATATCTAGTGCCAACACTGACTCTGCCTCCTCACGGCTCTCCTGCTAGACTTTGTATACACATGTGAGCAGCCTCCTTTGAGCTGAGGTTGCTGTTGGTAGAAGCTGGGCAGGGCCTCCTTGGCTCCCAGGAGAACCTCTGTTTCCTAGTTCAATGTCATTTGAGACAGAGCTGATGGGCTCAGCTGGCCACTGGCCGTGGAGAGCTTTGTGGCTGGAAAGAGAGGCTCTGAGACCAGGCTGCAGAGCCTCGACGTCAGGTCAGGAACAGAGTCAGATGGGATGCCTGGGTCCTGTTCAACTGGCCACAGTTGGCCAGCACTTGAAGTAAAGGACTGGTCATGTGTAGTGAGATTCTGAATGCCCCCCCCCGGGCCACAGTACACCCGGCTGTGACCCAACCCTGTATAACTCACCCCTAACAAACTCATTCCTAAGGCAAGATGAACTTGAACAGGGCAGTCTTTGGCTACTGGTGCTGTCCCAGGTTGGGGGATGATATTAATTTTATATCTCCCTGGA